GCCCTCGCCCGTGGGCTCCCCGCAGTCCTCGCCGCGGCTGCCCCGGCGGCCCACGGTCGAGTCCCACCACGTCTCCATCACGGGCATGCAGGCACGTGAGCGCCCCTGCGCCGGGCTCCGTGTCAGATCGGCACCCCCAGCTCATTCCCGGCGCGACCAGCTGGTTGGGGAGGTGACCCCCGAAACCCAGGCGGGGAGGGAAACAGGAGAGAAGGAGGTGACCCCCGAAACCCAGGCGGGGAGGGAAGCAGGAGGGAAGGATGTCAGCAAAGGATGCAGTCGTGGAGCTGGTTACCGCTGGGCCGCTGGGGCTCTGTGTGTCTGGGGATCACGGGTGACAGGTAGAATCTAAGCCTGAGGAGCTGGGCCAGGCGCGTGACCTGCCCTGAGTGCGGGCAGAGCAGCACAGGCCAGAGGGCGCCTCTAGCAAAGAGATGCACATGCTGGTGGTTGGAAATTGCGTTGGGGGCTCTGACCTGGGTGTGGCGGGCCCCTGAGGGGCCTCCCGGCCTCGCAGCGTGGCCCCCTTGGCTGGGTGTCTGCCTGCACCAGGCACTGCGCTCAGCGACGTGTGTGCATTTCTCATTGATTCTCAGCGTGAGCTTCTGGGAGGCAGATCAGAACTCAGGTCCCCACCAGGTGCACGGGCCCTGCCCGACCTGCCCCATCTGTTCCCCTGCCCACCTCCTGCCTCTCCGCTGCTGACTCACAGGCCTCCGTCCCTACCCACTTCCTTACATTCTTCAGAGAGCCAAGCTCATTCCCTTCGTTAGGCCTGACCTTTGCTGTCCCCTCTGCTGGGAACTTTTCCCATCTTTGCAAGGTCGTCTCCATCTGACGTCCAACTCTCAACTCAAATGTCACCTCCTCTGGAAGGCTTCTTGGCCTGCCCTCCCTAAGCAGCCGTCAGCCCCCAGGCCCTCCCTGTCCTCTTGCCCTATTGCGTCACTGCCATCGGATTATGCTGTGTGTTTGTTAAGTTGCTTATTGCCTGTCTACCCTTAGCTAGAATGCAAGCTCCGTAGGGACGGCCTCGTGTTCTCAGCGCCTCGCACAGTGCCTGGCACACAGTAGGAGCTTGAAAAAATTTGTTGAAGGAATGAATGAATGAATTTAATTGGGAGGAGCCTGGAAATCAGAAATGGCTTTTTTAAGCATGCTTTAAAAAAAAAAAAAAAAGTTTTTATTGATTTTAGAGAGAGAGAGAGGAAGGGAGAGGGAGAGAGAAACATCGATGAGAGAATCATTGATCAGCTGCCTCCTGCTCGCCCCCTACTGGGCATTAATCTAGCAACACGGGCATGGGCCCTGATGGGGAATGCCATCGGCGACCTCTGGGTGCGTGGGGTGATGCTCAGTCCCCTGAGCCACGCCGGCTGGGCAGGAATGGCTTTAGAAGGGCCTGATATTTAACTACATTTTGAGGGCCACCAGCCCAATCAAGATCACAGACTTTCCCGGCACCCCCAGCAGCGCACCCCTCCCCCCACGTCCCCTTTCCCGCACGGCCGCCGACCTGATTTTTATCGTTAGGGATGAATTTGCAAGGTCTTGTGTTTCATGTGCACGGGATCGTTCAGCATGCGTGCATTTTCAGCTGAGCTTCTTCCAGAGCACAACGCTGAGGTTTGTGCGCTCTGCAGACACCGGTAGTTCCTTCCTTCTCAGTGCTAAACAGTTCCCTTGTTCAGATGTGCCCCCGCGTGTTTATCCATTGACCTGTTGATGGACATTTGGGCGGTTTCCAGTTTTTGGTTTTTCCAGATAAAGCTGTTGTGAACATTTGTACACAAGCCTTTGCCTGGATGCTTGTTTTCATTTCTCTTGGGTAAACGCCTACAAGTAGAAAGGCTGGGTCATATGGTAAATGTATGTTAAAGAAGTTGCCAAACTGTCTCTCAAGGAAGCTGCACCATTTTAAATTCCCACCAGCAGCGTGTGAAGCTTCTTTAGGCCCTGAATTCTTTGGTCAGTCTACTTGATTTTAACTGATCTATTGGCTGTGGTTTTCATTTCTATTTCCCCATGATTAATGACGTTGAGTGTCTTTTGATGTGTTTCTCAATCATTTGTATCTTCCTTGGAGAAATGTCTTTACAAATCTTTTGCCCATTTTTTAAAAAAAACTGGGCTGTCTTATTAATGAGTCGTAAGAGCTCTTTATATATCCTGGATATCGGTCCTTTGTCTGATAGATGTGTTGCAAATAGTTTCTTTCAGTGTGTGGCTTGCCTTTCGTTTTCTTAATGGTATCTGGAAGAGCAAAAGTTTTAATTTTAATGAAGTCCAGTTTATGATTTGTTTCCTTGGACATTTTGGGTATTACCTAAGGAATCTCTGTCCCAGGGTCACTTCTTGTATCCCTTTACATTTTTATCGGACAACATGGGCATGGATTACTTGTTTAATATAAAGTGAACTTTTTATAAGTGGAACAAGCTTTTTATAATGGGTATTAAGAGAGTACAGACTGTTTGATTATGTGTTTACAACATATAAAAGCTGCTGTTGGGAGTCAGGACCCCGGTCAGGTCACCCTGCAGAGAGGCTGGGTAGCTGGGAATGCCCTCTTTCTGCATTTGGGTCCTGGTTACAAGTGTTTGTGATAAATGTATCTCGCTGCAAACTTACAGTGCATGTTCTGTGCGTTTCTACTTACTTTCCAGGATTGTGTCCAGCTGAACCAGTACACGCTGAAGGATGAAATTGGAAAGGTAAGTATCCTAGGAGCCAGGACGTCTCAGATGCTGTGGGGGCGCCCGTTAGAGCTGGGATTGGGAGAGGAATCCTTGGAGGCAAGGGTGGAGGCAGGATTTTATGATTCATGGTCTGTTTTGTTTTTATATCATAATGTCAATGTTTTCTGCAAAAGCACAGAAAATGTCTAGGGAAATCCCATATCACTATGGTGATAGTTACATCACCCCCTTAATTGTGTTGGTTTCCCCCCGGGGTGGGTAATTTCACAGATATCTTTGCTTTTGTTTCAGCCAATGGGCAGTATCATATTGCAGGGGTCAGAAACTCACATGCCAATAGAGAGCAAGTATAAATGAGCAAAGCATGCTAGGTATGCAGTAGGGAGTGGTGAGGCCTTTGGCAAATTAACACGGAAATGATTACGGCTCTATATGGTCAGATCATCCCATTTTCTGAGGCTGGGAATCTGGATTTTGATATCCAATCTTTCTGTTTTGGCAACTAATTCAAACTTTCTAAAAACTGTAGATCCAAAAAAATAAACTTGCAGGGAAGATTTGAACAGTGGGCTGCCAGTTTGCAACCTGTATGAGGGTCCTCGTTTTGCAGATCATACTTTTTGGTTGTATGTCACGGTCATCTCCCTTCCTCTAGGGCTCCTACGGCGTGGTCAAGTTGGCCTACAATGAAAATGACAATACCTACTATGTGAGTATCTGCATGCCCGCCCCCCAATCCTTGTCCAAAGAAAAAGACCTCCTTTTCAGCAGTCAGCTTCCTGGAAGGTTTTCTTAGCCCATGTGTCATTTTATTGTTAGGCCATGTTCATTTTGTGCATTAGGAAGAAAGTGGCATTTCTATTTTACAGATGGGGACATAGGGAGGTGAAGGGATAGCTCTGGAAAAACAAATGCATGAAATCCGCAGATGTCTTGTATCCTTACTCTGGGCTGCCATTTCTAATTCACCCATAGCACTGAGAACCAGGAGGTACTGAGCCAAACGGCCGTGGTAGCTGAGGCTTTGGACTCAGTTCAGTGTGGGTTCAAATCCTGCATCTCCCGTGTCCCAGCTGTGTGACCTTGGGCAAGTGCCAGTCCTGCCCCTCCCACACCCATCAGTCCAGCTCACTCATGTCTTGATTCAGTAGCAGTGGGCCCCAAGGCTTGTGCTTTCCCAGCTGGGGAAGCTGACCTGGAGCCTTGGAAGCTCCATAGAACCTGCTGCTGCTTGACGCCCTCTGGTGACGAGGCACTCACTACATTGTCCCAAAACAACCAGGGAGCCACGAGCTTGGCGAGGCCTGGGCGCAGAGGGAATGCTCCCCCTTCCTCCGTGGTTTAATCAGGACATGGGTCTTTCCGCCCACAGGCGATGAAGGTGCTGTCCAAAAAGAAGCTGATCCGACAGGCGGGCTTCCCACGTGAGTTCGGTGGGCCAGGTGGGCCTGAGGTGCGGGGGCTGCGGAAACACAGAGAAGGTCCCACTGAATAGTGTCCCCTGCAGAGAGTGCCCTGGGTGGACACCCCAAAGACGGTGCTGGGCCTCCTACTTTTTTTTTTTTTAAATCATTTGCATTAAAAAATATTTATGAATGTAATATAGGTTACAAGTAACAAAACCAATGAGAGGGAAACAGTCTGAAAGTTCCTCAAAAAGTTGAACGTGGAGTTACCGTATGGCCCAGCAATTCCGCTCTTAGGTACACACACAAGAGACATGAAAACATGTGTTCCCACAAACGCTTGTATACAAATGTTCACAGACACACTATTTATAATAGCCTCAAAGTGGAGACAACCCAAATGTCTGTCCACAGATGGTAAATAAAAGGTGGTTTATCTAATGGAATATTACTCAGCCATAAAAAAGAAGAAGAAGCACTGTTTCATGTGATAAGATGGTTTGTGTCTTCCTCAGGTCGCCCTCCACCCCGGGGCACCCGGCCGGCCCCGGGGGGCTGCGTCCAGCCCAGGGGCCCCATTGAGCAGGTGTACCAGGAAATCGCCATCCTCAAGAAGCTGGACCACCCCAATGTGGTGAAGCTGGTGGAGGTGAGGGGGGCACAGAGGAGGGTCTGGCTCTGTTGTTACCCAAACGCCACGCCAGTATTTTCCCGGGGAGAGCCACCTCACACCAGATAGCTTATCGCAGGGCTGAGTATTAGTTATCGATTCAGGCTCCTTCACCCTTGTCATTCCATGCAATCCTACCCCTCCCTAAGGCTGTCGCTCCCATTTTACAGACGAAGAAATTGAGGCTCGGAGGGATACTGAGGCTTGGCCTTCACTCATTTCTGTTACTTTGGAGCCAGTTCTCTTTCTACTGCATGTGTGTGTGGTTGTAGCACCAAAGCAGTGACACATGTAAATAAATGGGTGGGACTGTGTTCCGATAAAACTTTATTTACAAAAACAGGTTGTCGGCTGGATTTCGTCTGTGCACTGTAGTTCGCCCACCACGGCTCTAGACCAGCATTTCTCATACTTTGGTTTCAGGACTTATTTATGCTCTTAAAAATAATCGAAGACCCCAAAAAGCGTTTGCTTGTGTGGGTAATATTTACTAATATTTACATTAGAATTTCAAACTGAGAAATTATTTATTCATTTAAAAAAATAATCCTACTTCATATTAATATAAGTGATATCTTTTTATGATGTTTGAGACGGCCTGGTGGTTCCTGGATGGAGAAGACAGGGAAGGGTATCTCGGGGAGGAACAGCATGTGCAAAGGGCCGGAGGCCTCTGTTTGAAGGGGTCCATCCGGACCTTTGGTAGGTGTGAGGGTCAGCAGCCACACTGCCGGGGGCTCACTGGGGACAGAACTCTAGGGGGCCAGGCCCTGGGTCTGCCTTCCCCTCCGAGTGTGGGGCTTAGGGCTCCAGGTTGGCTACCCTGGGCCTCTGCCTAGGATTCTTCCTTCCTCGGGGCTCTCGTCCTGTGGATCTTGGGTGGCTGGGGAAGGTGAGCGTGATGTGGGAAGAGACAGGAGGACTGGTCTGGCCAGGGAGCCTGCCTTTTTTCCAGATGGCCGTTTGGGTCGCACGCTCTGGGTTTCCTCCCGGGCCCTGCACCCTAACTAGGAAAAGCAGCGGACGCGCGGCTCTCCTGCCGGCACGTGTGGTCGTGGGGGTGCTGCTTCCTCGGCACTCACAGCTTTTCTCTCTCTCCCTCCCTGCTCCTCCTCCGGCCTGTTCCCCGTGGCGGTGCCAACAGGTCCTGGATGACCCCAATGAGGACCATCTGTATATGGGTAAGAGTTGAGCCCTTGCTTCTGCCAGCCGGGCTTCAGCAGCCTGGCCACCCTCCCATGCATTTGTCTGAATTTGTTGCTCAGCCACCCGAGAGTAAAGCACGGTTCTCTGGGCTTCAGTAAATCGACATTGGGGTGGTGTCCCCTTACAGCTGACGGTTCAGCGTCAGTCATATCCCTGGGACCTCGGAGGTAGGAGTGAGAGCCGTCCCCGCCTGTCCCCTGCCTTGTTTCCTCTGGGCACAGCCCGGCTGGGGTCCCAGGGACATCAGAACTCTGGCCACAGCCTCCTGGTGGGAGCGTAGACAGAGGACTTTGCGCAGCTTGGTGTGGTGCACTGTCCCTCTCCGGTCCCAGTATTAGTTTCCGTGCTTCGTGGTGTTTTTAGGGGCGGCCGGGAGGAGGGGTGGTGGCGAGGAAGGTGCAGTTCCAGTTTCCCTGTGTGACAGTTTCCCCCCTCTCTTCCCTGCAGTGTTTGAACTGGTCAACCAAGGGTGAGTGTCCCCTCCCCTGGGGGGTGCTGCCCAAGCTCCCTGGCGGCGAAGCTGAGCAAGGCGGGCCGGGCCCTGCGGGGAGCGGGGGGAGGCAGGGGCCGCGTCTGCCTCGCGTCTCACCCGCGGTCGCCCTCTCAGGCCCGTGATGGAGGTGCCCACCCTCAAGCCGCTCTCCGAGGACCAGGCCCGCTTCTACTTCCAGGACCTGATCAAAGGCATTGAGTACCGTAAGCGGGGCCCGCGGGAGGAGTCCCAGGGTGGCTGCATCCCCAGGGCGTGGGCCGAAAGCGGGGAGTTTCTTATTTTCCTCCTTAGAGCTCAAGGAGGTGGGTGGGAAGCTGCAGAGAGCCCGCCGGGGCCATGCCCATGGCAGCAGAAACCGGTGTTCCTGCCACACTGGAAGGTTAGGAGCAGTGGCGAGAGTGACCGTGTATCCATCACTCTCTCTGTGTGCCGGGCGCTGTTAGGGGCTCTACTTCCTTTGCCCGACAGCGCTGGGATGGGGATCCAGTTTATCTCCTGGAACCTTGGTTTGCTCATCTGTAAAATGGGAATAAAGCGTCTCTCACCAGGGCTGACACCAGCCAGTGCACACCAGTGGTTCCGATGGGCAGCTGTTTTTTTTTCCAGCTTCGGGTTGTTAAACATTTTGACTCTCACCCTTGCCTGTCACATTAGGATTGTGTAAATGAGACGTAGTTAACACAGGGCTAGGCCCCGGACTGGGCACTCAACACAGGAAGCTGCTGCCCCTGATTCCCATGTCATCACCTCTTCCAGCATCATCACCACCACCACCGGGGGGTCTTCCAGGCTTGTCCTCCCACATGGGCTGACATCCGGGCAGGAACAGTTAGCCAAGTCCCCAATCCTGCTTTGTGGTTCACGCTTCAGATCGACCTGCTCTAGTCATTGTTGGTCTGGTGAGCAGGTTGAGTGTTGGCGTTAGCAAATGAAAATATGTTTGACTGGCACAGATCTTTAAGCTCGAAGCTGGGACCCAAGCTCCACAAAGACTCTCCAGGCTCTGTCACCTGGCAACTTAGACTATAGCAGGCAGTTCCTCATTGCTATTGGTGTTTCACTCCTGAATTTTGAGGACAGGGTGAACGTCCTTAAAGACCCTCTTTCCTTGTATCTTTCGGAGCTGGGGGTGTCCAGCTGGTCTTGCAGAAGTGAAGATAGGTAGGGCCTGGGGCTGTCGGAGAACAGAGGGGTCCAGCCTGTGTCTCTGGGCTCTGTGGGCCCCGTGGAGCTCCTCACGTGGTCTTCCCGTCCCCTCTCTCCCATCCGGTGCCTGCCTTGCCCCCAGTACACTACCAGAAGATCATCCACCGGGACATCAAACCTTCCAACCTCCTGGTGGGAGAAGACGGGCACATCAAGATCGCGGACTTCGGCGTGAGCAACGAGTTCAAGGGCAGCGACGCGCTCCTCTCCAACACCGTGGGCACGCCCGCCTTCATGGCACCCGAGTCGCTCTCCGAGACCCGAAAAATCTTCTCTGGGAAGGTAGGTTTGGACCGGCCAGAGATGCTGAGCTCTGCCTGTGGTAGGGTCCACTCAGCTGTCAGCGGCACAAATCCAACTCAGAGTGGCCGAAACAGTGAATCCGTTAAACCATGTAGATGAGCTGGGCACCTCTGGCCTGGGGCCTGGTGGGATACAGAGATTCAAAGAGCTCCAGCAAAAGTCCTGGGGTTGGCTCTGATTGGCCAAGCCTGGGTCATGTGCCCATTCTTGAACCAATCACTACGGCTGGAGGGGGGGGAGTGGTGCTCTCATTGGTCAGGACCAACCCCACCTAAACTCTATGGACTGAGAGCGGAGAGGTGGTTCCCCAAAGGAAAGCTGGAGGAGCTGGTGCTGGGCAGGCACAAGTGGCCGATGCCTCACCACCCTTGTCCCCTCACACGAAGCTCCTCTGTTTTTTTCTTGCAGGCCTTGGATGTTTGGGCCATGGGTGTGACACTCTACTGCTTTGTGTTTGGCCAGGTAACAGGGTGGGGGGTGTCCTGCCTCCCTGAGTGTGGCTGGGTGGCCCCCTTGGATTAATAGTTACCTTTGCATGGAGACAGTACTTACTCATTTAAAAATTATGTAATTCTTATTTCCACAGTTAGAGCTGAAAATGAAAAAGGGATGCCTCCCCAAATGGGAGTTAAAATGCACTTGGCATTTTTAATTTAGGGAGTACTAGTTTGTCTTTTTTTTAAAAAAAAATATATTATTGATATTTAGGGGCTTTTATGTTTTTTTTAAAATGTATTTTTATTGATTTCAGAGAGAGGGAGAGAGAGATAGGATCATCAGTGATAAGAGAGGCATTGATCGGCTGCCTCCTGCACGCCCCCTGCTGGGGTTTGAGCCCGAAACCCAGGCATGTGCCCTGACTGGGACTCGAACCACCATCTCGTGGATCCTAGGTGGATGCTCAACCCCTGAGCCACACTGGCTGGGCGTACCTATTTTTTATGTCTACTGAGAGGATCTACAGAAATCATTCAAATATTCATTCAACGAGTATGTAGCGAGCCCCTACTTTGTGCCAGGAATGTTCCTGGGCAGTGGGGAGTCAGCAATGAGCAGGACAGACGAAAACCCCGGCCCTCGTGGAGCTGATGTTCCTGGGCAGAAGTTAAACAGCAGACAGATACATCTGTAATATAACGCCAGGGATAGGTGCTGTGATGAGAGGGCACATGGTGATAGGAAGGGGGGGGCGGGGGCGTGCCTGTTTCAGGCAGGAGCTAAGAAAGGCCCCCCTGACGAGGTCTACTTCGATTAGACGCCCGGATGACGAATGAAAACAAGCCAGGCAGGTGTTGGTGGGAGAACATGCCGGGCAGAGGGAACAGCCAATGAAACGGTTGTCCCGAGAAACTTCAGCGGAGGGCCTGGCCCAGGCTGAGCCCTCGCCAGTCTCTGCGGTTCCCGTGATGATTTTTGTATTGTTCTCAGAATTACTGTGCTTCTGGTCCAGGGGTGGGGAACCTTTTTTCCTGCCAAGGGCCATTTGGATATTTATAGCATCATTCACGGGCCATACAAAATTGTCAGCTTAAAACTTAGCTATGAAAAAAGCTCCTAGATTTATTGAATTTCGAGTCCCCCCCCTGCAGTTGCCTTGGCAGGGCCAGACCAAATGATTTCGTGGGCCATATATGGCCCCCCACGGGCTGGACGTTCCCCACCCCTGACCTAGTTAGTAGGCGGGTGAAGAAGATGTTTGTTTTTTCCCTGATCTTTCTAGAACTTGGGGGGTGGGGAACATGGGAACTGCTCCCTCCCTAGATCAGGCCACCGGGCTGTTTGTGTCTCTGCTGTAACCCGTGTGGCGACACCAGCAGAGGGCGGCCTTCACAGCGCAGGTGTGCCAGCCGTTGACGCCGGCCGCTCTGACCTCTCTCCCCAGTGCCCGTTCATGGACGAGCGGATCATGTGTTTACACAGTAAGATCAAGAGCCAGGCCCTGGAGTTTCCAGACCAGTGAGTATCGCCCGGCCGTCCCGAGTTGTCCGCGGAGTGGTCCTGCGTCTCTGTCTTTCAAACTTCCGACGCGTCTCTCACCCCCAGGCCCGACATAGCTGAGGACCTGAAGGACCTGATCACCAGAATGTTGGACAAGAACCCCGAGTCGAGGATCATGGTGCCGGAGATCAAGGTACCTGGGGCCGCCGCTGTCCTGTGGAGCGCGTGCGGCGGCTTGGCCTGCGTCCTCTGCTTGGAATTGTTTGGCTCAACCCCGCCTTGGCCAGGCCCCTCACCCCACATCCACAGCGTCATGCCCTCCTGGGCACCGCCGCCCTCCCATGCCCAGGGGCGACTGGGCTGCAGGGGGCCAGTGGGGGGCGGGAGGAAGACGTGGGGCTTGTGTCGATGTCACTGGCAACGTGTGAGTGGGAACTGTTAGCACTCACGCCGATTGGCTTGGGCTGATGGCATCCACCCACCTCGGACCAGACCGAGGCCTCTGTGTGCTCCACACCTTGGCTGCCAGAGACCCTGCCCATCCCTTTAAAAAGTGCAGTGAGTGTGGGAGGAAGTTAGTGAGCAGTTGGACCCCACTTCACCCTGGCCTGCGGAATTCCACCCTGTTTCAGAAAGCACTGTCGGGAGAGACCCCCATCTACCCCCAAGGCCCCAACCAGTGCCACGTGCACGCATCTGGCTCGTTAATAAATCGAGATTTGTTTCGGGAACCCCTAGGCCCCTAGCTAACTGGCGTTTGAAGAGGGGGAAGCCCAAAAAGTTACTGATTAAGGCTTGGGGGGGCAGGCTCCTGCCCGGGTCCTCTCCTTGTTGTGTCCTTCCAGCTGGTCTGTGGTCATTGTGCCTCCCCGAGCCTCTGTTTGCCCGTCTGTAAAATGGGGAGGATGCCGCCTGCTCTGAGCTGAGCTTTGCAGGCATCAGGGAGGGTCGCTGAGGAGCGACGGGTGCTCCTCAGGCAAGCACGCGAGGCAGATGCCAAATCCCAGTCACCTCTGCCAAGACCGGGGCCAGGTGGGGAATCTGGCACATCCCAGCCACGTAGCTCCCGCCCATTCTCTGTCTCTCGTCTTTTCCACGTTTCCTCCCATCCTGCTCACCCGCACCTTCTGCCTGGCTTCTCTGCGCTCCCGCATGTCCGACCCCAGGCCACTGCCTCTCCCCTCCCGCATCCCTTCCCCGGCTCCGCTGTCCCGCCTCTGGGAGCCGGTGGCGCCCCCCCCTCACCCCTCCTGTCATTCGTTGAAGCTGCACCCCTGGGTCACGAGGCACGGGGCGGAGCCGTTGCCGTCGGAGGACGAAAACTGCACGCTGGTCGAGGTGACCGAAGAGGAGGTCGAGAACTCGGTCAAACACATTCCCAGCCTGGCGACCGTGGTAAGGCGGGCGGGCCACTGACCGAGAGCAGGGACAGAGGGCCGCCCGAGGCGGGCGCCCAGGAGCCGGCGCTGGGCCCAACGCTCGGGGCAGCTGGCTGCCCCGGACCCGCAGCCACCGGCCTCCGGGCCTTGGACGAGCATCAGGCCAGGTGCCCTGTATTTTCCGGCCTCAGCTCTGTCTGCAGCCAGGTCCTGTGTTATGGACGAGAGGGGCCGTGTCCGTCCCCCCCCGCGAGGATCCCACTGCCCCTTCCAGGATTCCTGCTTTCAGAGTGGGAGGAAGAGCGCCACCAGGGCGTGTGCCAGGGAAGGAACCTGAGCCGAGGCCCCTGAGTCAGGATTCCCGCCCGGTGGCGCTCCAGTCCCCAGAGCGAATGGCTTAGCCCATGCCATGCCTACCGCGTGCGTAGGGCCAGGGCCAGGGGCTGCTGCTCCACATGCCCCAGAGACTTCTCCCAGACTCCAGACGGTGGGAGTTTGGTCACCACGCCCCTTTTAAGGCCTCACACTTGGGTTCTGACCCAGGAAGGATCCAGAATGTGGAGTCCTCACGCTTAACCCCGGGACACTGGGAGTCACTCACTTGCCAAGCTCCTGCCCATCAGGGCACCTGGCTCCAGAAGGGAGACCAGGGCCCTTAGGGGCCCAGAATCAGGCAGCAGTCCTGGGGCAGGATCCTGCTGGCCACCCACCATGGCCGCCTCCAAGGCCCGGGCTGCCTTTGGCCAGCACCGGCCCCAGCAGACAAGGCCCTGGGCTCTGGGAGGGGCCCTGAGTGACCACCCCGTGGGAGCCCAAGAGCTGGCTGCTTCTCTCCCAGCTTTGCACCTCTCCCCCCTGCTTCCTCACACTTTTTCTCTCCTTCCAAACCCTGAGCCCCTGGGCCGGGCATCCATTCACACCTTCCTCCCCCCCACCTGGGGCCTCTGCATGACCTTTACTGTTAATAACTCACCCGCACCCACTCACTCTTTCTCATTCACCCGCTGCACCCACGTCCTGCGCCCATAGTGGGGCAGGCGGCTGGTGTCGGACCCCAGCGCCCACCATGGGTGATTCAGTTCCAGGCTCGGGATGTTCTTGGGAGAAGGCGTCCGCCCCTAGAGGTCTGAACTAGTTATTGATTCTTCCCGAAGCACCGAACCCTGAGTGGTTTCTCGGGCCTGTGCTGGGAGCTGGGGTACTGTGATGAATGAAACCGGGGTGCAGACGCTGGGCAAACAACCTGCAAGTACATGTACAATGTAGCTGAAGGGCTGCGAGATGTGCCCCTCGGGGATATGGCCCAGGTGCTGGGTTGCAGGCCACCTGGACGAAGCGGCTGCCCCCTGAGAGGCGTGGGAAGCACTTGCAGGGTTTGAATTGGGAACAGCATGATCAGATGGGCCGTGGAAAGATCCCACGTGGAGAATGGACTGCGAGGTCCAGGGAGGAAGTGGGGGCTGCTGCAGCCCTCTGAGAGGGGGTGGCTGGAGCAGGGAAGTCCAGGCCCCCCTGGTACCCAGCGTGTGCCGGGCATGAGGTTACAGAGATGACCGAGGTATAGCTCCAGCCCTCATGAGGCTCCCAGTCTCCATAAGAAAGATGGGCCTGGGAAGAATCGCCTTCCTGGCCCATCACTGGCCAGAGCAGAGCGGAGGCTTCTCAAAGGAGGAGCTCCTTCCGCTGGGTCCCGAGGGCTGGGAAGGACTTGCTGGTTGGACATGGCCACAGGGGAGGGGCAGGGCAGGGTGATCTTGCCAGGGGGAGCGGGGCGGGG